CCAGCTTTCAATTTAAGAGACTAAATAAAACAACCCTGGGCTAGGGATGGACTCAGGGAGCTGTCACTGCTTTGCTCTAGCTCCCAAATGACTAAAGTATCCCAAGAGCTGACCACTCTTCCCCACCCCATCAGAAAGTGAAGACAACTCACCTGCAGGATCAGGTCTTTGTTTTGGCTCTATGGACAGAACTGTGCCAGAAATAAGCTGTGCTTTGGCAGCATAGATAAGGCCATTGCAGACAAGTTTATTTCCTCCCTTGACACCCCAGACGCCAGGTGCCACCCCTGTCAGCGAAATAAAACCTACGAGGAAAGCAAGACCATTAAACGTGCTTGTGCAGTGCCATTCTGTAGGGGAGCACTTAGAACAGGAATGGGAAGTTAGGGGGAAATACTCCACTGGGATATGCAGCTTGCTTGAGCACAGGGCTCACCAGGCCACAGCGGCCACCAGTTGTTGGTCAGAGTAACCCAGCAAGGGAGGGCCCTGCTGAGCAGCAGCAGGAGAGACTTTGGCCAAAGGGAGCAACCAGGCTGCTGCCAAGGTCTGCCCAAGCTCTGGGAGCAAGAACCCCAGCAAACACATGTGCCACAGAGTCCCTAGGACAGATGCCTACCTGTTTCACCTTGCAAGGGGGAGACACTCTTCAACACTCACCTACAAAAGCATTCATGTTGACTCCTTGCCCATAATTGACTCTCATGACTGGACAAATCACTTCATTTATGAACTTATGGGAGAAGCCAGCTTTCTGCATGGATTCATCAAGGGTTTGGTTCAGCATTTGGGCAAAGTCATTCCCTCCAAGGGCATGAAGTAAGCGCTCGTTACTGCTGAAGGTATAGTCGTGCGTCTGGTAGCGATAGATTCTTGGGCCAGAAACAAGGAAACACATTCAGGGCAGTTGCAGAACAACACATGCACTAGGCAAGCCCCTCAACTTGATAAGATTATAAGTTTCAAATGCTAGTTGATTATCTTTGTTCCTGTCACTGGCTGCCAGCAAGAAGAGTTTGGCCCCATCCTCTTTACATTCGCTCCTCGGGCACTTGTATATATTGATAGGATCCCCTCTATCTTATTTTCTCCAGGCTAAACAGGCCCTGCTCACTTAGCCTTTCCTCATAACATAGATGCTCCAGTCCCTTGATCATCTTTGTTGCTCTATGCTGGATGGACCGTCTAGAGAAGCTCCACGTCCCTCTTGTCCTGGGGAGCCCAGAACTGCACCCAAAACTCCAGGTGCGGCCTCACCAGAGTTGAGTAGAGGGGAAGGATCCCCTCCGTCAAACTGTTGGCGACATTCCTCCTGGTACAGGCCAGGATCCCATCGGCCTTCTTGGCCACGAGAGCACAGGGCTGCCTCATGGTTGACCAGGACTCCCAAAGCCCTCTCTGCGGAGCTGCTTTCCAGGAGGTTGTCCCCTAATCTGTGCAGGTGCCTGGGGTCATTCCTCCCCAGGTGCAGGAGCCTGCACTTGTCCTTGTTGAACCTCATGAGGTTCCTCTCTGCCCAACTCTCCATTCTGTCTAGGTCCCTCTGAATGGCAGCGCATCCCTCGGGAGTGTCGCCCACTCCACTCAGTTTGGTAGCATCCACAAACTTGCTCAGGGTGCACTCTGTGCCCTCGTGCAAGTCTTGTCCCCCTTGCTCAACTTCTTTCTTGTAGGAATGCACCGATCCTGAGCTTGGAGAAAATAGTGCTTGAATATTAGCCAACTCTCCTGGAGCCCCTTTCCTTCTAGGACCCTGGCCCAGGGGATTCCTCCAAGGAGCTCCCTGAAGAGGCCTCACATTCCAGCTGCCCTCTCATGTAAAGAGCAACTCCGCCACCTCACCTTCCTTTCCTGTCCTTCCTGAAAAGCCTAAAGCCACCCATGGCCACGTTCCAGTCATGACAGCTGTCCCACCATGTCTCAGTAACTGCAATGAGATCATGGCCCTGCAATCGCACACGCATCTCCAATTCCCCTCGTTTATCCCCATGCTCCATGGGTTTCAATCAAACCTGGCTCTCTTACAACAAACCTGCCTCTCTTACCGCATAAACTTGTCCAAGATGTCCTCAACCCACATGTTCAGGCGCAGGGGGTTGAGGCCGTAGTGCCAGAGACGTTTGAGGATGTTGATTATATACCAGCTGCTCTCCTCAAACACAAACTCCTCTCCGTTATAAACACCCAACAGGCTGTTGTAGCTTGGGGCAACGTCGAGGCCTGGAGGCAGGAAAAAAAGTAATACACCGTAGAAGGTAAATATTTTTCAGCAAATCTGTTGTACTTTGAGTTAATCTAGGCTGTGCCAGGGGGGTTTGATAAGGGCAGTAATTCTGAAAGAAGGGATGAGAGTTTGCCCCTGAGATAAGGGGGAAATGGGATTTTGGAACAGGCAAACAAAGATTTGCAGCGACTTCTGATCCTTCTGAACAGGGTTACCTGGATGCCAGTCTATAACTTGCCGATAGCAACAGGAGCTCACCCTTGTCCCGAGCATCCGCGCTGGCGCGGGGACAGGAGGGTGCAGGGTTTGTGCTGCAGGAGCCACCATCAGCAAGGGGCAACACTCAGCAAGAATTTCTGCTTTTTAACATGCACCAGAGAGAAAGGGAGATCGCC